TATATATATATATATATATATGTATATATATATATATACTTATTATTTTTATTTATTTATTTTTCTTCTGGGGTAAATAAAGTATTTTTTCCATTTCATTTAAATGTTGCTGCAGGGTATTCATTGAATGGCTGAAATAACAACCATTATTATTTGGAAGAAAACATCCATTTTACATGTTTTCAGACATTTAGCAGATCAGTCCTGAAAGTGAAAAAATTGATGAAGAAGCAGCACCCAAAGAGATCATTGAATACAACTAATTCACTCCACATTCAAAATGGAAAAAAAAAAAAAACTCAAGTTGGAGTTGAAAGCGGCCGTAAAAGCTCCCGCGGACGGTCGGCTGGTGATAAACACTAATGAAAGAGGAGAGGTGTCACAGGTGTTCTTTCACTTCAAAAATCTCACCTCAACCTTTGCATTATGAGCAGAGCTGCTTTTTATTTCCCCCATAATTCATTTGTGTTCCAGAGTGTAAAGGAAGAGACTAAAAAAAGCCAGCTGGGAGATTCAGACGCTTCGAAAAATTCTTTGTAATCACACAGTTTAAACTCTTATTTCCACACAAAATATATTCCCTTCACACTAGGGTTGTCACGATACTAAGATTTTCAGCTCGATACCGATACTCAGGAAAATACTCGATACTCTATACCATTTTCGATACCACAAGGATAAAAACAAAGACCCCAAAATTTAACTGGTTAGTGTCTTTCATTTCAAACTGACCTGTTACTGATGTTATGGTGGCCCACATTAATGACCCTAACCCTAACACTGACCCTGACCCTGAACTTAACCATAACCTTGACCACAACCCTAACCCTCCAGCCTTCATAATTGTGAGAAATAAATATGTTTTGGTTAAACTTGTTTGGACTTATTCTACAAACCTATTTAACATTCACTATTTTAACATAATATTATGGATAGAGTTTAATTAAGTGTTCGAAAGATTAATTCCACTATTTTTAAATTAATGTCTATATTGCCATGAAGCAATTAGGATTTTCTTGCCTGGGATCTTCCTATTGGTGACTTGGATGTGGGCGGAGTGGGATATGTACTTGACAAATGGTAGCATGTTGTTATTAGCCATTAGCTGAAGCTAGCAGTTCAAGGCTAACGTCTTGTTAATGACCATAAACAACGTAAAAAAATACATAAATATCGATACTTGGTGGTATCGATACTTTTGAAAATCGATACTTTTGACAACCCTACTTCACACATCCCAGAGAGGGCATCTCCCACTCTGCAAAAGGCTGGAGACCCATGAAAGGAAGGCGACACAAAGAGGGAAAAAAGGAGGATTTTTGAGGCATGACATCATCTCACCTGCACAGAAACCTTAAAAGCTCCGATAGAGATAAGAGAGAGGTTTGAGCCCTGGAGGGAGAGGAAACCTGCAGAGGCCTTTTCTCCTCTTTTCTCCTCAGAACCAGAAACAGGTCCGGTTACCTCACGTGAACGAGGCTCCGGGGCCCAGAAATCTGAGCGCAGAATTGGCCCGGGGAGGTTCCGGCTGAGATCGGGACCTGAACCGAAATGCCTGAGAGAAGTGGAGCAGGAATGCGAGCGTATCCTGGATGTGTAAAACACAGCGGACATGTGTTTCCACGTGTTTTCCGCTCCTCAAACCAAACTTGCCAGATTCTACACGTAAATCAAAGAAAGGCTCAAAGAAACTTCTGGCTTCAGCCTGAGGAAATAGCCTCAGGTGGACGGGCGACCTGTTTCAATTTAATTCCGAACAAATTCAAATCCAGTTTTTCTCGTTATTGTTACTCATCTGGAATTGAAGTTTGAAGCCTTTTAACTCATTGGCTGCCAAAGACGTCTATAGACGTCTTTTATGTTTTTCAACGCGAGTGGCTGGGGGACGATCTGCTAAAGCTTGTCCGTAAATATCGGCTTCTAGACAGAGTATGTAGTAACAAATTGACCCTCTAGGGGGCAGTCCCACTTTTGATGGGAGATGAGCATAGACTGTAGGCAAATAAGAAAAAGGTAACGGTTCGCTATGAGAGAACATGTCGCCGGTGAGACGCAAGTCCAGGAAGAACGGAATAAGGTAGAAACAATTTTTTTTCCTGATGAAAGAAGAGTCTACTCTTTCTTTTGGTGTGTTCGGTGTTTACATAGTCATAGCACAAACTATTCTGTGGCTCTTGAAAAATCAGTCAAAATGCTCAAAAAACTCTGGCAGTCAATGAGTTAAACTCTGGCCTCCAGGGGACACACGTTTGACCGACTATTGAAATTGTTTTAGGCAACTGCTGCCCAGCAAAGATAACTTGGGTCACTTCAAAGCTTTGTTATATTTGCTCTATATTTGTTCTCTGTTCATACTTCAATAAACTGGATGGAGAAGACACACATTTGTAGTTTTTATACGTCTGAAAATGTTGTTTACAAAACAAAAACAAGTTTCTATCATGTTCCTACATTTTTCAAAGCTGCTGATTAGATTTTAAAAAACAAAAAACTCCTTCTGTAATCTGAATAGAGTCAAACAGAAGTCTGGTTGGAGGTTCACTCGGACAGGAAGCCGAGACTCAATGGCTGCCATTGTTACAAAGGAGTGAGGAATCAGGTTTGGTCAGCTTTCTAAAGTGTGACGTCACCTTTCTGAAAAGCTGTTTGTGTGTCAGTGTCATAGCTGCTAATCGTGTGGATTCGTGGCTCATATTTACTGATAAAGCAGGTGTGTGTGTTTGTGTGTGTGTGTCTGTGTGTGTGTGTGTGTGCGTGTGTATGTGTGAGTTGCCAATGAACTGTGAGCTTTCACATCTCGTCTCAAAGTTATCCGAGGTTTCATTTGTGGATCTAACAGATTCCCGGTGCCACTTTTAGCAGCTAGCCCTGTTAGCTAGGTCCCACTGTTAGCTAACGCTGTGCATTTCATTTTTCAGCCACAGAAACAATGGATTTGTGGCTCCACTGGGGCCCAGAATACGGTTCATTAAGTCACAACAAGAAAAGTTTGATGGGTTTAACCTGTCAAATGAAACAACATTTATCAGGATTACAGGTTTTGTTTGGCATCCAAAGGTATTCTTGGCATGAGAACGTCGGCATGCCTTCGGTTTATTACCGTCTGCGTCTGCCTGCTAATTACAGCATCGCAGCTCAGATAAGGATCAGATCGCATTTCCCAATCTCAACAGTCCTACACACTCTTCAACACCGGGCTCGACTCCGTTTTTCCCCCACATGCAGAGGAGATTACAGGTGGAAAACAAAAAGCTGAGCAGCTCCCAAAAGCAGCAACAGCCCAAACGGAGAAGAAAGGACTGAAGATCTCGAGGTCTATTCGGCAGGTTTTTTTACGTAATTGTCTCCAGTTTTGGCGACTCGCTCGTCAGATAGTGGACAAACGTCGGACTGAGCGTGAACGCGTCACACCTGAGGGCCCCCCCCCCCAATACGAGGACACTTGGACTACAAAACTAAACTGGTCCCGATGATCTGTAATTTAGTTTAAAAACAAAATATTTAAGCTAAAATTTAGCCAATGAAAAGAGAAAGCTGGAGTACCCGAGTTCAAACCTTATTATCACCTTATTGTTGTACATTCAAGAAATGGGAGGAGCCAAATAGAAACGATTAGCTGTAACAATCGCGGCTCCCATCTTTGTTCTGGACTGAGATGGATGGAGAGCCTGAGGAGATAAAGCCTGAGGGAGAAACCACTTTTCCGGGAGGGAAATCCAGCATCAACCGGGGGTCTGAACCTCCAATAACCCCAATCGCCCTTTTCAATTTGTACCGACTCGGTCTTTTACGGCCCAATACAACTAAATTACTCCCATCTGATGTAAACTGAAGGGAAGTGGGGGGGGGGACTAAAATAACCTCAGCGGGGGGCCAACACAGTGGGAACAAACTGCACCACTCCTTTGTTTGGCCGTGGTAGATTCCACTTACTGCGTCCCCTCCCTGGACAACGACAACAGGGGTGTCGGCCATTTTGGAAAAATTAACACAAACTAGAGACCTACTCTTCCTGTCCCAAAGATCCCTGATTGAACCCACTGGCAGTTCTGAGGGATGGACCGGAAAAAAACTCTCCCTTAGACATTTTAAATGCATTATATTATGTTATTTGTATTCAACAAGTGGCACATGTAATGTTCTCTGTTGATACTTCAACAAATTGGATGGAGACGACTCATATTTGTAGTTTTTATAGGTCTGAAAATGTAGTTTACAAGACAAAAACAAGTTTCTGATATGTTCCCACATGTTTCAAAGCTGCTGATTAGATCTTAAAAAACAAAAAAAATCCTTCTGTAATCTGAACAGACAACACAACACAGAACCAGAACGGCCTTGTTGCCAACTTTCTGTTTCACTATCGGCAAGATTATTAGACCCTGACGCTGAGACCTCCGGGGTCTCCAACAGGTTTTGTTCTCGGGATAAAAACGACGAGCCACTTATGTGGTTGAGACTTCAGGAGGCGCCGCTTTAAGCTTCTGCCGGGCGGCTCATCCCCAGACACCTGCTCCAAAAAGTCCCGGCTCTCTGCAGAGCACTCTGCTAAGCTCTTTACCCACAATAAGCACACTGCCCCTCACCTCCTCACACCGGGGCAGGTTTTACAGGTGATGTGTTTCTGACATCCTTTAAATGAAGAAAAATAAAGAAAAGATTGTTTGATCGTATTCTACTTTTCTTTTTCTGACTTTAAGCTTCGTAAAAAGTCAACGATCAAGCAGAAAGCAGCATAAACTACCTTCAAGTCCACCCCAAAATGAGGAGGCAAGTTTATTTTACAGCACATTTCTTGTACGAGACAGTTCAAAGTGCTTCCCAGAGAATTTAAAAGCAGAAAAACAAGAAATATAATAAAAATTAGACAGATGAAAAGTGAAGGGTGCACAGTTAAACAGAAGCGTTTTCATCTGGATTTAAACATCCAGAG